TTTGAGTTTAGGAAAAAGAAAGAAGTCGGCTGGAGCCATATCTGGTGAATATGATGGCTGCTCGATGGTATTTGTTGAGTGTTTGGTCAAAAATTCGTTCACAATGATGGCCTTGCGCGAAGGCGCATTATCGTGGAGCAAAATCCAAGAATTTTTTTTTCACAGATCTGGCCTTTTTCGTCGAATTTGTTCTCTTAAATGCCGCATAACGCTCAAATAATACTTATTCTTTACTTACCGTTTGACCTTCCGTCAAGAATTCTAAGTGCAAAACAACGCGATAGTCAAAAAAAACAGGCAACATGACTTTGACTTTTGATCGACTTTGGCGTGTTTTTTTCGGTTTCGGTTCAGTTGGAAGGCGCCACTCCGAAGCTTGTTGACTAGTTTGCAAGTCAAACTCATAAACCCACGTCTCGTCACCAGTAAAAATGCGTTTCATGAATGTTAGGTCGGAATTGACTCGTTCTAGCATGTCCTCATCGACTCTCATGCGATTGAGTTTTTGGAGAACATTCAGGTCTTTTGGGACTAGCCGAGCGGTAACATGTTTTATACCTAAATGATTAGTTAAAATGGTACGACTCGATCGACTCGTGAGATACAGAAAGTTCGGAGGCTATCTCTGTCAAAGTTGAATGAGGATTTTCAGTCACTATTTCCTTCACTTTTGGGATGTTAACTTCAGTTGCAGACGTTGATGGCCTACCAGAGCGAGGCAAATCTTCCATCACATCTCGACGGCTTTTGAACGCTTTGTACCAATCATAAGTACGTGTTTTTGATAAAGTCAATTCACCGTAAGCCTTCTGTAACATTTTCAGTGACTCCGAACACGAAATTCCATTGGCGATACAAATTGTAAGAAAAACTCTTTGTTCGATGTTTTTGTCCATTATGAAATTTGCAATACACACTAGATATGACATAACTAAAAGCAGCACTGTATTTAATATAAATAACAGATGTAACTCAAACTCCGCGCCAAAATGGAAAACAGTTGTGCCAATCTAACAACAACCAAAAAAAAACAAAATTGAATTTGGAACTATAAACAAATCATCCATTCCCGATACTTTTTGACTGAATGTATTTTTGGGTTCAGATTTAACATCTTACTACCTTATCTAAATAAAGTAACGGTATTATTAAACTAAATTGAATATAATCTAACATACTACAGTAATACTAATAACATAGGTACTACTTTTATCTATAGTTTTATTTATTTGTAAAGATAACAAGGTTATGTTGACCAGCCGGCTGCTAATAACAAATACACAATCAAGAAAGTAGAATATAGGTACTTGCCGTTAACAATGAGCGTAAGGTTTGTTATTTATTTATTTAGGTCCTTCACAGCTGACAGTAGGTACGTGTAGGAAAATTACAAAGTGAATTTTACGCCAATTACGAAGTATACAAAATATCAGGTACTACATTAACAAACAAAAGTGAACTTGTGAAGTTATTGAATTGTGTTGAAAAATAAACTAAAATAAGATGGGACTCGATTTTCTTCGTAAACGCGGACGAAAATGAAACTTTAAACGCCTGTCTCTGGACCATTAAAAATTCAAAAATTGTAGTAGATGCAGGGTTCCTACAAACGATATTCGATGTGTCAGGAAGTGTAAGTTACTGTGTTACTGAACAAATAACTAAAATATATCGGTGCATAGCAATACTTACTGTGTATGCTCCATATATAAATATTACACATACAATTATGTAAATGCATGTAAAGCTAATGACCAAAGAAAAAAATTTTTGTGGATCTGCAAACGAATAATAAAAGTTTACATCAGTTAGGTACTTAATATAATTACATTTATGGTAAGCAATAAATTAATTAACTGCTTTTTACCACCTTCTTGTATTCTCTCCAAATAACTCTTTGCGTAGATTAAAATAAAACCATTGGTCCAATTCTGAATTTCATCTTTCACTACCTGAGTATGATTATATCCTAAACAGCATATAGTTAATATTATTAGACCCTGAAACTGATTTTTTGTAATTATAGACAAAATAATATATAAGTAATAAGTGTTTTTAGGGCTAAAATACTCTCAATTTCTTTGGATGAATTTCACATTTTATGAGAAACAGTTCTTTAAAATCGGTTATTTGTAAATAAAGCAATATTTAAATTTCCAAATAAGGAAAATATGTCATCAAAAAAAGCTATTATCATTTCACAACAATAATGAATAAGAAGAAATCATCATGAGTCATCAAAAAGTATTTTGGTCCTTTAAATAAATCATTAACTTACCGCTGAAAATATACCTATCAGTATTCCTCCTAAACGCAACGAAAACCAAAAGCAACAACTGTATACAAAAGCCATCATGAAAAGTTAATTTTAAAGGCTATGAGATGAGTGAGTGTTATTGAATCACAAAATAAACTAAATACCTAGCCACAAAAAATGTTACGTGTCAAACCAAAAAGTAATGACCGTATATCATGACGATGTAACTGATTTAATAGAGCTCGCATGAATCTATTCATGTTAATTGTTCACAGTATTGATTTACTAAGCCATTATGTATAGGTAGTATTCCAGTACAAGAGTAAAACACGGTAGGGATATAGTGCAAATGGCATGTAAGAGTCTGTGCTCTGCAACTCAAGTAGGTACATAAACAACATTAAAGATATGCCAAAGGTTTCGACCACTGTAATTAAAAACCTTGTAAAAGATGTAATAGTCAACACTAAGTATGTTCTATTAGATCAGACGTTCCTTATTTCATAAAACCTGAAGTTTCTGTGTGTATCTCCCTAATGCACTCTCTCCATCATATCTCCATAAAGTTCACGGTGCCTTTAAAAGCCTTTTCAGACCTGACGTACACAATTGGGCACATAAGGTTTAGAAAAATATTTAAATATTAAATCAACTAAGTTTAGATTTAAAAACGGATGTTTTCAATTGGGCACATATTTAAGTTCCGAAATTTATACTAGTAACGTCATCGATTTACAAGGTTCTGGCAACTTTTAGCGAAATTTTTACAGTTACCCGCCAAGTTTTGATAAGTGCAGGTGAGCTCTTTATTTTATTTGAAAAAAAATGTTTTAACGATAATTACCTAAAAATAAAATTATTTATTAGTTACTAATATCACTAAATACATATATTGAATATTTGTTAGTTCGATTCACTGTAATTTTAGCGAAAAACTTGATTTTTCGATTTGTACTCAAATGTGCACAACCGGCGCAAACACAAATTTTACGAAAATTTAAACACTTGAACGGTTGTTCAAAACTATTATTATTATCCCACATTCGAGTGTTATATCATTAAAAATTGTTTTTATTTTACGAAATCACTCGTTTCATGATTTGTTTTTTGATTTTAGTTGTGCGATTCTACCAAAAATAAAAGAAAATGTTACAATTTACAAGATAGTAAAGAGATGAGGAGAAGTTCATCCTGCTACTGAAATAGCCCATGACGCCATATGTCATTTTCCTGCACATGACGATGGTGTCCCAACACGATGTAAAATGGTGGGCTGTAAAGGAAGATCACGTATAAAATGCATTAAATGTAAGGTCCATTTATGTCTTACAAAAGATAAAAACTGTTTTTTAGCTTTTCATACACCCTAATTACCGACTTATTTTTCCACTATTGTAAAACATTACCAATGTAGGTTTTATATAATATTGTGTTTTTTATTGTTTGTGAAGTCACAGGCGCATAGGCCTTTATGTATTTTTTAATCTTGTAATAAAAATGTCATACAAAATACATTTTATTATTGTACGGAAAAATGTCTCATACGTACCTTATAATATTACTTAGGGCGGATGTACACATTTGTGCACATGAGGAAAAACGGGATTTCTCATAAATAGGGGGTGACTATAATTTTATTTTTATTTTTTTTATACTGCTTTTAGTATATTCTAACTACACAAATTTAATCAATCATATTAAAGAAAAAAAAATAAAGCAGGTCTGAAAGGGTCAAAGATGTGGAAACTATAGACTCTGAAATATACAATGTACATATAGATCTGAATTACCCGATTTACCAATGTGGATAGGTTATAATTTTTATTTTTTGACAAAGGAAAAAAAATGCTAAAGATTTACAGCAACTTTATATACATACGATCTTGCCATAGCAAAAGTAGGATTTCGAATACAAGCTAGGCAAAACGCTCAATTTGATATTTCATTCATACATATAGGACCGTTTCAAATAATGATGGCTGTAGCAAGACAATAATGTACTACGCGTGGACCCGAATACTTTCTCTCTCGCACACCGACTATCTATTCCATTCAACGCGCATCACCTACGACATCGTGGGAGTGGGAGCACAGGGCCGCCTATATAAACCGGCACGCAGCCTCCAGTATGGCAGTCGATAGCTAGACGATTCAGAGTGCGATAGCCCCGCAGTCCACTCTGGTGTCCAGTAGCTGACCTGATCGATAGCCCCGCAGTCATCAGGTTTTGCTAAGCATGAGGTCTTTAAGAGCGATAGCCCCGCAGTCCTCTTAAGACACTCACGTAGCGTAGGAAAGTAGTGATGAGCGATAGCCCCGCAGTCCTCTTCACTGCTCTCATAGGGTTTTATGTATAAGTACAAGTTTGCTAATATATGTATAAGCTAGACAGAAACCAGAATAAACGATAACAGCTACCAAAGACGTCTATGATTTCTGCACTGGTAACCCTATCGCCCTACATTTGACGCCCAACGGTAATGAAGTTAGCTACAGATGTCAAGTATAATTGACGTATTGTGAAGTACCCACTATACAAATAAAAAACCAGAAAAATATACCCTCATTATAAGAATATTATTTCAAAACAAATATACATTGAAGATTAATTTCGTAAACTACCCACTATTTTTGAGAAAAGTACACGTATTTGAAAAGCTTTATAATGTCTGAATCTAAAGATTTGTCAGCAGACGCAATCAAGCAGTTAAGCGAAATATTAAGTAAACTACAACTGAAAACAATGGCTACCAAAAGTTTTGCGCAGTGTCATGCTAAATATAATGGCGAACGTTGTTTTAATAAGGTGGAGGAGTTTCTTACCAAAATAACAGTTTTCAAGAAGGTGGAAAAAATTTCCGACGAAGACGCCTTGGAAGGACTATCCTTGGTACTCACAGAAAAGGCTGCTACTTGGTGGATAGGTATAAAACCGAGTGTAAAAAAATGGAATGCGGCGATAGAAGCGATCCGGTCGGCTTTCGCGCCACGAAAACGCCCGCATGATATTTATTTGGAAATATTTGCGAAAAAACAAACAAGTGAACCTATTGATGAATTTGTTTGTGAAAAAAGAGCTTTGTTGGCGCAGTTACCTGCAAAGCGTCACAAAGAGGACGAACAATTAGATATGATCTATGGGCTCTTGAAAATACATTACAAAAAGGACATAGCCCGAGAAGACTTAAAAACATTCGACGAACTTTTGCAACGTGGCCGTCACATAGAAAATCTTTTAAAAGAAGCTGCAGACGGTGGTATTGAAGAAAGAAAAGCGTTAAGATGTACATTTTGTGGCAAGAGGGGACACGCAGTTGAAGTTTGTCGCAAAAGGCTTGCCGAAATAAAAAAAGAAACTATGGCAACCAACAACGTAACATCTAAAGATCTAATTAAATGTTACGGTTGTGGTGCACCTGGAGTATATAGAAGCAGGTGTGGGACGTGTAAAAATAAAGAGTCGCCGCCGAAACCTGTTGCATTTTATACCATGGAGACAACCATGAAAAACCAATCTAAAATACCGACTATAGAAATAGTTGTCAACGGCGAAAATGGATACGCTCATATCGACACAGCTGCCAGAACTAGCATTGCAGGTACACAGCTATACAAATCGCTGGTACGAAAAGGAACACAATTTGCGGAATGCACAGCAGAAATAATCTTGGCTGATGGCAACAGAAAGACATCCAAGCTCCTGACTGCCGAGGTAAACATTTGTATCGGGCAACGTAATTTGCCGATTTCGTTTACTGTATTGCCCGAGGCGAAAGATAACAGGACCCTTCTAGGTATTGACTTTCTGGAATCGTCGGGAATAGTCTTAAACTTGCCTCAAAGATGTTGGCATTATATAGATGAACCAGAAAGAGAACATAAAATTTTGCAGTTGTGTAACCAAAAAATCCCGCTTAAAGCCGCAAAACTTTTGGAGGTGAGCCAAAGGAACCTCTAAATGATTTTCTGAGGTGGGCTAGAGAACTCACAATGGTTTCGCCGATGGCCGAAACGCCATCACCACAAAAGGACCAAGACACTCCGACAGACGCAAAAAGACCACGCTGGACTTTACACAAACTTGACACACCACCGCGACCAGTACGTCCGCGAGAGCCCGCTGATAAATACTCTTCTGTTGATCCACGCATTAATTATGTCCCAATAAATCCTTGTACTTTGTATTCTATTGATATTTATTTACAACCTCATGAAGGTACCTTACTTACTGAACATGAGCAACAAGTTTTCAATGACTTGCTTACAGAATATAGTTCAATTTTTAATAAAAACACAAAACCTACTTCATTTGCTGTACATAGAATAGACACAGGCAATCATCCTCCAATTAGTGTCAAACCATATAGACTTTCACTCACAAGGCAGCAACAGCTACGGGAGAAAATAGATGAAATGCTTAAAGATGACATAATTGAGGAATCAGACTCCTCATGGTCAGCACCTGTAATACTTGTACCTAAAGGCGAGAATGATGTAAGAGTTTCTATAGACTATAGGAAGCTAAACGAGATTACTAAACCTGACAGATATCCGTTGCCACGTATCGATGACTTACTGCATCAAGCTAAAGCTATGCCATATATGTCTACAATCGATTTACAATCAAGTTATCATCAGATCTTAGTGCATCCAGACGACCAAGACAAGACAACGTTCGTTTCACCGTTTGGAATGTATCGGTTTAAACGTATGCCTTTTGGATTACGAAATGCACCTGCTACGTTTCAAAGATTGATGGATAAGCTTATAAGAGGCTTAAAAGCGACCTGTGTCATTTCCTATTTAGATGATTTAATCCTGAGGTCTGTCTCTTTCCTTCAACACCTAAAAGATTTAAGGGAAGTATTTGATAAACTTAGAGAATATAATTTGCATGCTAATAGAAAGAAATGCAAGTTTGGTTGTTCTGAAGTAAAATATTTGGGACATTTGATTGTGCCTGAAGGAATAAAAGCAGATCCTGAGAAAGTGTCTGCTATTGCTAACCTACGAGAACCTAGAAATCTTAAACAATTGATATCATTTCTACAAATAGCTTCTTGGTACCGTAGATTTATATACAAGTTCGCAGAAATTGCAAGGCCATTAACTAATTTAACACGAAAGAAAGTTACTTGGCAATGGAATTCGGAAGAACGAGAATCCTTCAACAAATTAAAGATTGCACTAACTACAGCACTTGTACTGAAACAAGCTAACGAAAATTTGCCATTTACAATTAAAACAGACGCAAGTCAGTATGCCATAGGCGCAGCTTTAGTGCAGGGGGAGGGCGAGCATGAACATCCTGTAGAATATGCAAGTAGATTGCTGACTCCAGCCGAATCCAATTATACAGTAACAGAAAAAGAAGGCTTAGCAATTGTATGGGCTATATCGCAATTTCGTGGTTACATAGAAGGAACACGTTTCATAACTATAACAGATCACCAACCTCTAAAATGGTTAATGAATCTGAAAATCCCAACTGGTCGTCTTGCGAGATGGGCGCTTCAATTACAACCATATGAATTTAAGATTTTGTATACGCCAGGTCGTACCAATGTTGTAGATGATACATTGTCACGACCGCCATGTGCAAATCATACCGAAAACTGCACAATTTGTAAAATAGAGATGGAACTTCCAAGACTCAATGAAAAACAAATACGAGAAGAACAGTTGAGAGACAACGATGTGAAATTAATAATTGAAACGTTAGAAAATGAAGAAGAATCGGATAAATATGCAGAATACATTAAGAAAGGATTTCTGTTGCACAAAGGAGTATTGTATCGTTATGCCCCAGAACAAGACGATGATAATGCAAAACTATTCATCCCAAAACACGAAATACCTAACATACTAAAATCTTATCATGATGCACCCACTGCTGGACACATGGGAATTGAACGAACATTACAACGTATAATTAAGAAATTTTACTGGAAGGGAATGCGAAAAGACATAATCAATCACATTAAAACATGCGTCGATTGCCAAAAATACAAACCTTCAAACCAAAAACCAGCTGGATTATTCCAATCTACTCCGAACTGTCACAGATTCGAAGTCCTATCGGTTGATTTATTTGGCCAACTACCCAAAGGACCTTCTGGAGAGAAATGGATCTTCATTGTGGAAGATACCACATCTAGATGGATTGAAATTTTTGCTTTAAAAGAAGCTACTGTTGAAAATTGTGCATACACACTAATAAATGAAATATTCTTGCGCTACGGTTTACCAAGGAAACTTGTGAGTGATAACGGAGTTCAATTCATATCAGCAGTAATGCAAAAACTTACATATTGTTTAGATATAGAACAAGTTTATACCCCCGTTTATCATCCTGAGCCAAACACCGTAGAGAGGAAGAATAGAGATATGAAAACACAAATAGCAATGATGGTTAAAAACAAGCATAACAATTGGCCAGCTACATTGCCTGTAATCCGATTTGCTATGAATACAGCGATTTGTCAAACAACAGGTTACTCACCATCATACCTGACATTTGGTCGCGAATTAAGAACCACTTATGACTTAACACATGACTTAAGTTGTACTGTAGAATCTGAGAACTTTATAAAAGGAATAACACCAGCCTTGAAGCAATTAGCTCAGGATTTGGCACTTGCGAAAAAAAACATTGAAGATAATCTGGAATCAAACAGATTTAAGGCAAACGCTAAGAGAAGACCCGATCCAGGATATAAAATTGGAGACTTAGTGTTGGTCGAGACACATCCAATTAGTAATAGTGAAAAACAATTCTCTGCAAAGTTTGCTCCACGGCGAGACGGTCCTTACATAATAGTAAAGAAACATGGAGCTGCCACTTACGAAGTAGCACACCCAGATACACCTGAAAGGTCAATTGGCAGATACCATACTTCTGCTATAACTAACTTCGAGAGAAGAGATGATGATTTGCCAAACTCTGTTAATCCAATCCGTCGAAGAGGAAGACCTCGTAAGGATGCTGGTGCTCTCACGGGACGACAACGACAACGAGCACCAGAGGGGGAGAATGTAGCAAGACAATAATGTACTACGCGTGGACCCGAATACTTTCTCTCTCGCACACCGACTATCTATTCCATTCAACGCGCATCACCTACGACATCGTGGGAGTGGGAGCACAGGGCCGCCTATATAAACCGGCACGCAGCCTCCAGTATGGCAGTCGATAGCTAGACGACTCAGAGTGCGATAGCCCCGCAGTCCACTCTGGTGTCCAGTAGCTGACCTGATCGATAGCCCCGCAGTCATCAGGTTTTGCTAAGCATGAGGTCTTTAAGAGCGATAGCCCCGCAGTCCTCTTCACTGCTCTCATAGGGTTTTATGTATAAGTACAAGTTTGCTAATATATGTATAAGCTAGACAGAAACCAGAATAAACGATAACAGCTACCAAAGACGTCTATGATTTCTGCACTGGTAACCCTATCGCCCTACATGGCTTATTTTAAAGCCATCGGCAAAGTTATAAGTGACTGCTTGTTAACAAATATTATGGTTGAGAGTAGTTTACTGGCAAATGGTTCTGTAAAAATATTTCTTGATGTAAAACATTTCAACGGCTGCAAAAGATTACATTCTTTGACTACATTAGGACTGAAAATACTCCAATTTAAATATTTTTCAAACTGATAATATAGGAAGTAAAAAGACTACAAAACTACGAAATTTCACCCTTTCACATAGAAAATGAAGACCACATAACAGTTTATTAATGATTACGGTATTTATAAGCAACAAAGTCTAAATAGGGAACATGGCAAAAATTCACAATTTTACTTGATTTACATCCATCTCATACACTATTACTTAATTTTATCACGAAGCATTCGGACTGGAAATTTTGAACTTTTTAAATCGGTATTTAAAAAATATGGTTATTGTAAACCAATATATTTTTTATATGCAACCAACAAAACTATTCACTGTAAACATTCCCAGAAAGAAATTATGAACATTCCCAACTATTTGAATCTTGCACAATTATAAGTTCGGTGGTAGCGAATTAATTGAAAATAATGATGAACAACAAAACATCCTGAAAATTAGGTCTTTAACTATGAAGTGGGCGATTTGTTTAGTTTTTTTTTGTTTTCAATTTAGGTAATCAAGGTATTGGCCCAAACTATCTCTACAATTTTGCCATTTTGATGGTAGTTTGTTTATCCCTTTACTGTTAAAGTCTGCTGGATGGAAGGCGTTGAAGTCAGCGAAAGCGTTTTGTACTGTCTCTGTGGTGTTGAATTTTTCCCACCTTCATTTTTTTCGAAATTTTGAAAAAAGTTGAAATCTGTTGGGACAAGGTCTGGTGAGTACGGTGGGTGACTGAGAGCTTCCAGCTGTAATTATTGTAGATTAGCGAAGGTCTGTTATGAAGTGTGACCATGCGCGTTGTCTTTGAGAACTTGAGAAGCAAAGAAGAATTGCGATTGACGAGTCGTGGTTGCGGTTGTTGAATTGCGAGCTTCTCCATCATTGTTTGCAACTCTTGGCAATAGACATCTGACGTCACTGTGCCATTCGGTAAGAAGCCTGTGATCTACAAGAGCGGCACTGGTCCATCAGACAGTCACCATCATTTTCCTATGGGTTTTTTTTTAGCGCACTTAGGTGCTGTCTCACCTACTGAGATGAACCTTTACGGTTGTTGTACAGGATCCATTTTTCATCGAAGGTAACAATTCGATTCAGAATTCCCTCGTTTCTATGCCGATTCAGTAGTGCTACGCAAGCTTTGACGCGTAAGTCTCGCTGATGGTCGCTTAGTTCGTGTGGAACCCCACTTATCTAGCTTTTTATCTTTTCGATTTGACGCAAATGCTTTAATGTTATTTTGACACTAACTCCAAAGCCCGCAGCAAGCTCAGACGTAAACCATAAGTGATATTTATTTTTGCATTGATTGGCATTGATTGAGTTGGATCCGCTCCCACTA